TGTGTGTCATGGTCGAAGTAAACGCATAAAGACGAAGTATTATTTTCTTAGGGATCAATATAACAAAGGAAAGCTTGAACTTGAGCATTGCTAGACAGAATGACAACTAACCGACATACTCACTCAACCCCTGAAGATAGTCAGGTTCGATGAGTTGAAAAGAAGCATCAGAATGAGAAGTCTCAAGAACATGAATTAGGATATGTGTTAGAAGTTGTAATTTGATGTTCTGTTGGAGGCTAGCATTTGAATATATCGAAGTAGCTAGGCGAAGGCGTAGGATCAGTTGTATTCGACTAATAGTTGTTATGTCGAAATGTAACTTGTAGTTATGTACTTTGCATTTTGTATGTTTAGGGCTTGGTTCGTTTTGTATAGTTTTGCGTATGAGCTTTGGTTGCCTATATAAAGGCATTGTATGATGTAAATCAAAACAACTTCGCTCAATACAAATCCTAATTTCTACAATTCAATTTCTATCTCTTTTCTATCTTCTTCTTTTTCTCTCATCTTTCTTGAAAACCCCATTGTTCAGACATAAATGAGTAATGATGAGATAAATCTATGGATGTTATTTTTATGGAAGATGTTTTTTAAGTCTTTTGGATCTTTGGGTTCCTCTATTGATGGCTCTAGCTCAATGGGTCATAAGATGGTGGTAGTTGCCTACTCTTTTCGATGGTGGTTGGTTTAGGTATTGTGCTACTTTCACCATCAGATTCAAAATCGGTGAGAGAGAATAATAGGGAAGGGTTTTTGAAAATGGGTGTAGTGAAAGGAGAAGAACGTTTGGTAGTAGATTTTAGATTTTTTTTTTTTTTTTTTTTTTTTTTTTTTTTTTTTTTTAGTTTTGAGGTTGTTGAAGATGATGAAGAATCTGGTTGAAGATGATGAATTTATTTTATTTTATTTTTATTTAAATGGAATAATTTGTATTATTAATAAAATAAATAATAATTTAAAATGACATAGATTTAATTTTGGTAAATGTGTCAATAACACATCATCACTTTCAGTGACATGTCATTAAAAAATTGATTTCAAATTAGAATAGGGGGCTAAAATCCTAAAAAAATAATTCAAAAAGAGACTAAAAACTCAAATTTTAAAATGGTGGAACTGAAGTTGAAAAAAATAAAATAAAATAGAGGGATCAACGTTGCAATTAAGTTAATTATACTTATTCATAGACGTTCACATTATGACAGTGCCTTAAGGTTCGTTTGGTTCAGAGTTTTTGGAGAGAACGGGAGGGAAGGAAAAGAAATATTTTAAATGAAACGTATTTGTTCAATTTTTTAGATGCGAATGGGAGGAAAGATTAAGGGATCAGAATCTTCTAGAGTGATTTTTTATTCCTCCGAATTGGAGTTTTTTTTGAAGGAAAGAGAAGGGAAGAGATACTAAAATATAATTTATTATATTAACGAAATTAATCTTAGTTTTTTTTAATAAAATAATAATTTATCCTTACTAAAAGTTTAGGTTTTCTCTCAAGTTTTTCTTTTTCTATTTTAATATTGGAGGCTTTTTTCGATTAAAAATTTGCTTATCATTTAAGTCAATCTCATATATGAGTATGGTTGCTTTTGTTTTAAAATCAACATCATTGTTGTTTTTATCTTTTCATAAAAACTTTATTATACTTTTTTTTTTTTAAAATTTCATGTGCTTTATTTTGTTCTTTTTATTATTTACTATTATTATTTTTACCATTTTGATGTGACTTTTTAATTATCTTAATATTTTTTTTAGAATAATTTTTTGTTTGTATTTGATTATCTTTAAAATTGTAGATTAATATCGTTACGTTTTACAAAATATTTTATAATTAAATATTTATATTTTGTTAATAAATTTGTGTTTGAATTATAAATTATAAATATTATTATATTTAATAAATTTTTGTTCAAATTATGAATATTATAATTCTTGTAATAAAATTACAAAAATAAAAAGTAAATTAAGTCTAAAATATCTTCTCTCTTCTTATGAATAAAATATGTTTGTAATTAAAATTCATCTATTTTTCTTTCTTTTTATATTACTAAATCTATATAAAAATCAAATACTTCCCTTCTCTTTCTTTGATAAAAATCTCTAACTTTCCCTCTTGTCGATTTAATTAACAAAAATGCTATTCTTACACCTTTTTTACACCTAATACTTACACCATATGCACTGTTCACCGTATTTATACGGTGAACATTATTTTTTAATTAAAATAATATATATTTTTTAAAATATTAATCTTTTTAAAAAAATATTTATTTTTAAAATTTATTTTATAACACAAATATAAGATTGCGCATTAACCAATTTCACAGTTGCATTAACCACAAAAATCTACATCATTAATCAATTATTTTACCTATAATTTATTAACCATTTTCACTACTTCATTAACCAATAAAATACACACTATTAACCATGTTCTGATAAATTTGTTCAAGTATTTGTGAGCAGTGAGTTGGGTGTAGGATGTAGAAAATGGTGTCAACGTAGCAATCCTGTTTAATTAAACCGACCCTTAAAAACATTTATAGTATAACTTAAGAGTATTAATTTAAATCCCTTCGGAGATCCTGACAAGCCATATCATTTCTTAGTGACTTACATTTATCTTACTTCCAAGCATGTCATGCATGATTGTTTGTGAAGAGTCTTTTAAATACCATTTTTCAATATTTATCAAGTTATCATATATGTATAATTTTACCTAAATAAACTTTATAACTAAACGTTTTACATAAGCAAACCTAAATAAACTTATAACTAACCCTTTCACATAAGCAACTTCACCTAAAGAAGCTTCATAATTAAGATTCTATTTAGTAAAATTAACTTATAGTTAATAATTGGTAGTTGGTAGCTGATCGTTTATAACTTATAGTTGATGACTAATAATTAATAAGTTAATTTAAGTGTTTGATAAATTTGCTGTTACACTAACTGATAATTAAAAAATAATTTAAAAGAATATTTTTAATTAAGAAATTTGTGATTTCATTAATTTATTGTACTATATTATTAAATTAAATTTTATTTGATAAAAATAAATGTATTAATAACAATATTTAAAATAATTTTAATATATATATATATATATATATATATATATATATATATATATATATATATATATATATATATATATATATATATATATATATATATATATATATATATATAAAATTAAAAATATCATCAAAATATATAAATTTATATATAAGTTTTTTGAGCTTTGCTATTTAGTATGAATATATTAACAACGAAATTTAATAAAAGAACTAGTAAACCATACATGAAACATAAGTATTTTATAAAATCATTTATCAGAACATAAAAATAAAAGTAATCCTAATAAATACAATTCTTAGTATGATTAACTCATTCTTTCGTAAATATTGTCTTTTTTATTTTATTTTTATAATAAAATTTAATAAAATACGTGAAATAATAATACTGCAATTTTGAATTTAGTTATATTAATTTAAAATAATAACAAAAATGAATTTATTGTCTAATATTTTACAATAAAACTGTATTAATATTCTGAATTTTCTTCACTTTTGATTATCTCATTGATTCTCCTAACTTGAAAATTATAAATACTATTTTTAAATTAATTATATAATTTATATTTAATAAATAAAAATAATGTCTAATAAAATAGAGAAAAATAATAAAAATATTTTATAACATTCTTCAAAATCTCTTAAATTTAATTTTTAAAATCAATTTTTTAATTATATATATATAAATATATATATATATATATATATATATATATATATATATATATATATATATATATATATATATATATATATATATATATATATATATATATATATATATATATATATATATATATATATATATAATTAAAATAATAAAGATATAATTAAAATAAAAAGTCATAAGTTCAAAGTTATAAGTTCAAAAGCTATTTAAAATAATTTTTGAAAAAAAATTAAAAATTAAAAGCTAAAAATTAAAAAGAACTTTTTAATCAAAATGAATTGAAAAATTAAAAACTAAAAACTAAACCTTTTTTTTTTCTTACCAAACATACTCTACACCTTCCACATAAGTACTATCAACATGTCCTTTACATTGAATCAAATTAATCGACACCCGTACAAAAACCGAATTGCTGCTGGAACTTAATTAAAAGAAAACACATTCAAAACGGTTTAATTAAATTTGACACTATCGGCTGCTATTATCTTTATACTTTTACTACTTTTTCTAGTATTTTTTTATTGTGTTTATCCAAATTTTCGAAAAAAAACCAAAATTTTTCGAATGTTAAGGAAAAAAAATTAATGATTTTCAAAAAAAATTTCTTTAAGAAATATTAAAATTTTCAAAAAAAATTACCCTACTGAAAATTACGAAATTTCTAATAAACTGCCATACTTTTTAAAATTTTCAATAAACTTATGTCAATTTTCTGTTTTTTCAGTAAAATACAACACTTTTTTAAAAAATTGATAAAAATTCATACCAACAATTAAAAAATGAACTATCAAAATTTTAAATGAACTATCATTGATTCAAATCTATCCATAATTAGTTTAGAAATTATGAAAATATGTTGAGTTGCCAAATTTAATCGAAGTATTGGCAAATTAAATGGTCATTCAAAACACTGATAGCCGGGCCTCATCGCCCAAGCTCAATTTTATTGAATTTTATAGAATTTTATACTTTAAAACCTATTTTTTTGACGAATTTTCTTTAATAGAGTAGTCTAATTCTAAAGGAAAAACCATCAACTTTTTTCAACCGATAAAGTGTATACTAGTAACGCTATACTTATTATACCAAAAAAAGATTTTTGCTTAAATTTTTTATTCAAAATGACCCGATCAAAGATGGCAAAGAAATATGCTTTTCCGACTAATTTAAGAGAACCAAAATCCAAAATCTCTATGTGCAATACATATCAAAATTCCTTAAGTCTAAATCATACACTGTATTACATGTAAAACCTACTCATCAAGCCAACCTGCTGAATGGTGGAGTGAATATTCATAATTAGGACCAGCTGCAAAACCTGCGGGCACAACACGTTCAGGAGTCTGGAAACTTTTAGTCTCACTACGAGTTTTCCTCCGATGGCTAGACCCTTCTTTTAAAGGCTGTGTTTTGGTTTTGGCTTTTGAGACCGCACCTTCTTTTTTGAACAATTGTGAGGACACACCCAGTCTTCTATCGTTTTTCTTGATTTGTTTTCTCTTCCCAGATGTCTTCCAAGACTGGTTAAGCTTAAACTCCTGTCTCTTATCACTCTTCCCGTCAAGACTACCAAGCTGGGAGCTTCTTTTCTGACTTTCATTTATACATACTTGTTCTTCTTGAATATCAGTTGACTCTGGGAGATCATGATTCAGCACCAGCTTGTCCTCAATATCTCCCAACTTTTGCTTTCCTACGACACCCTCCAACAATATTGAGGATCTGGCTTCTTTAAATGAATCCACCAAACTACAAGCAAGGAAATCATGGAAAGTACACAAGTACAAATCAATATCATGCTAAATAAATGGCAAATTTATACCTAGCTTAGTTTGTGAAACTATAGCTATTTTAATTTTCTAAATGTGCTTTTTTTAACTTTTTAAATAAAGATAGACTCTTCAAATGAACAATTATGATGAAAATAATTATTTTGGCCTTTTCGTTGTTTTAAAAAAACGAACATAATTGTTAACAAGTAACATTAACACAAATTTTAAGAAATGAAAATATAAAATGTTTTGAAACAGTGAACAAGACCTTAGATTTCAAGATTCTTAAAGGGCGCTGCGTTAAAGTGGCAAACATTAAAAAAGAAAGATGCCAAAAAGGAACAAATTGAACAAGCAAAAAAATTGCATTAGATAGATATACCCTTTCTCTGAATCGGCACCCAGTGGAGACAATACACTTCTAATAGGCTTGATTGACAGGGTTTGATTATCTGCATCATCAAGCTGCTTGCTTTGTTTTAAACCTTTACTCATAGAAGCTGGAGGCAATATATTTCTTACAGGCTTGATTGACAGAGTTTCATTATCTGCATTATCGACGTGATTGTCATGCTGGGTTGGTTTAATACTCATAGAAGCATTCAATTTCTGACCAGTTAGGTCGGAGACCGACTTCTTACTTTTAGTCAAAACCCTTCCGGATGTTTCATTTGATTTTGGTTTATTTGAAGGCAATTTTCCAGTCACTTTAGATGCTGCTGCAGTGCTCTCCCCAGATGATTTAAACAAGTCAACATTATTCTCCAATGCAACTCTCCCGTTAGTTGCTTTAGATCCTGCTGCAGTGCTCTTCCCAAATGATTCATCAAAACCAACATTGTTCTCCAATATAACTCTCTCTTCAGTTGTAGGTTTCAACCTCTTACTAGAAGTATTAATTTCCCTTACACTAGCTTTAGCATCGGGGAATTTTATATGATTTCTTACATGAGTTTCAAGCTTATCATTGATCTTGTGATTTGCAGTTCTCTTCCCAGATGATTTAACATTGTTCTCCAACATAACTCTCTCTTTAGTTGTAGGCTTCATTCTCTTATTAGAAATATTATTTTCAAGAACACTAGCTCCAATGTCAGGGAATTTCACATGATCTCTTGCAGGAGTCCCAAGCTCATCAATGATCTCATGATTTCTAGTCCAATGAAATGATAAATAAAATTACACCAGGGCATTAATAAGGACAAATTTTAAAAACAAAAAAATCAACAGAACACTTACAAGCAATATATAAGAATGCGATTGTTTGGCAAAAGACCTTCCCAAGCCCTTGTTTGAACACCTTTGATGTCAAAAGCAATCCCTCTGCCGAAATCAACTTGAGAATCAACCCCGTATACAATATCAATTAGAATCATAAAAAGGACAAACAAAGAAAAAGAGAGAACGTACATTGGCAAACATTTGCGATGATATGACTTTGGACATCGGTTACAAATTCCAAATTGCAACTCATGTTCCATCTTATTCTCCAATCCTTTACAGACACAACAAAAATGAATTGGACATGTAAAGGGTTTCCCCTCAGCAATATGTTTCTCAGGGGGAAGTAACTTTGCGACACAATGTGGATGGTAGAAACGGTCACATGTTTCAGAAGCACATTTAATGACCTGAAAGAGGGATTCTCAAAATTTTAGTTCCTTCATATCAAAGCTCTGTTGTTCATGACATAAAAACTCTTGTTTCCAAAAAACATTAGTATCTTAACCAGTTCATCAAAAGCAATACCAAATTAAAATAAGACACTGAAACAAGAGAACCATGTGGCAAAATCAGCATATAACAGGAATACATGGTAGGAAAACAAGGATGGATATGCTACATTATGTGTAAGGTATGCTTTGAAGAACAATCAGTTTTACAAGGTTTGAAACCTCATCTTTTTAAAAATTGTCGCCAATACACAATAAGTAAAATAGATACTATTGTTGAGAAGGAAAAAATATATATAATATAGGCCTGTTTCATTTACAACAGATTGCCTCATGCTTCTAGATATTTAAAATCAAACAACAGATTGCCTCATGCTTCTAGATATTTAAAATCAAACAACAGGTTGACTCATTCTACATGGCAACTGATTCTCTTCTCAATGCATAATTTTTGAAACAAGAACTTTTTAGTTTTAGAAAAACTAACAAGGACGATCGGGTACTCATTCAGCAATGAAAAACATATACATGAACTAATCAGCATGAGAAACCTATTTTATTTTCTACAGAAATACCTCGGCACCCTTAGCTTCATCAGAAGAACCCAGCTCACCACATGCAAAGCATTGATGCTGACGATACTCGCAATTTTTACAATAAAATGTCTCAATATCCTGCAATTATTTTGCAACATTTCTACATCATTATCTGAAGTGGAAAAGAACAAGAAAAATAAATATAAAAAAATAAAATTAACATACATCAACTTGCTTCTTTGTAAAACCAAGAGAATCACACAGAGATTCCCTACCATCCGCTTTAGTAGCATGAAATGACCTCATGCATGCTCCATCACACCTGCATGAAATTTGTTAAAATATATTTCGGATATACTGGAAATGGTAAAACTATAAATTAAATGAAGGACATAGATTTAAATGGTTTGTCTTTAGACATGATTCATAGTAGGAAATTGGCTTTGTCTCATTCATATAGACAATCTAAACTAGTGGCAAAAGTCTTTTGATGTAGTTTGTTTGTATCTTTCGGAAGAATTATACTACAACACCCTTTTTCCAACACACGCTCTTATTTAAAAGTGATAGATATTTCTCATAATATATTGGTTGCATGAGCTTACATATGTTGGTCAGACTGAATATAATATATTAGTATAAAATAGTACTACCGGTTCGTTAGCATTTTGTACCCAAATTATTGGACGTCATAACAATATTTTATAGTCATAGATACAAACATCAAATTAAATAAGCCGATAAGAAGAAGAACTCATACATTATAAGATTACCACCATTGTCACACATTGCACAAACAGAATCAAACAAATCATCCTCTAATTTTGAGTCTTCGTCAGTTTCTTTGATGATGTCATTGTCAGTATCATCCTCTCTAAACCCAGTTTGTGACAAATCTTCAAATTCCTGAAATCGAGTAGTAAAACCTTAAATATATATTATAGACAATACATATGCCTAAATAAAATGAATGTAAGGGAGATAATATATCAGACAAATCATTTCTGATTAAAGAAAATGAAATTAAATTTGCAACAAACCTCATAAGATTGTTTTTGATACTCTGGCTTGTCCCCTAAAACTGTGAGCAAAAGCTGTTTACAACATCACAGTATTTTCATTAATATGAAGCACACACGTGGAGAACTACAAAAACAAAGTATCCTAATCCCTCCATGCCTTGTTAAACAAATCTTTTGTAATTATACTTAATGAGTACAAGAATATCTTTAGTAAAAGAACAAGGAAAATTATATTTAAACTCATATATGAAAAATGAGATGTGTGTAAATCAAACATAACTGAAGAAAAGAAAACTTTAAGAGTACACAGAATCCAAACCATTCATTACTTAAATATGTTATAACTGCATACTTTTTCCAAGAGTAAAAAGCAGAGAGAAGGAAAACATGGAGAATATTAAAAGAAACAGAGTTTAACCAAACACCACTTATTTGCAATATTCAAAACTGTTAACAATAAAGCACTAATCAAGATCATACACCTTATCCAGTTCGTTCCTGTAAGCAATCCACTTTGTGCACATGATATTCTAATCTTAAGCTAGAAATCTCATAGATCTATGACTAACTCGAAAAACAAAAACGGATCATATAACCTAATTAGTATTTTAATACTTAATAAAAAGGATGCAAAGTTATTAAGTTTGATGCATTCCTCCTCTTCTACTATACTAACAATGTAAACCAATGTAAACGCCAGTCTTTGTGAAGTCTCCTAAGTCTCGACAGACACCACCTACTTCAAAATTCTACTTAAATATGTTGTGTTGTTTGCCATATAGTTCAACTGGTCAAAGAATATGATAAGGTAGAACCATTTCATTGCTGATTCTGTGCCTTGAAAATCAAGACAATAAGCGAAACACTACCACAGATGGTTAACAAAAACAGATAATTAAAATCTTCTTTGCATCAACCAACACATGAACATAAACACAATCTTTGTGGCAACTAATTTAACTTACTGCAAAAGTTAACATCTATAACTAAAATAAAACTCATTGCAAAAATACAGAAGTACAATTTAAATCATGAAATCAACCCGTATTTTGAATGATTAAATTTCAAAAGGGGATTGGGGAAGAAGGAGAAGAAAAATAATAGTTTCCTAGTTCAACACACAATATATTTGAGAAAGAAAACACAGACCTTAGACCGAGCCAAGACAACATCTCTTCTGGTAGCTTCACCAATCAAAGGCATATGATCCAGTAAATCCTTGTGTGAAGGTTTAAACCCATAAGAGCTACAAAAAGCATCCATTTAAAAACCATCATAAAATGCACTTTTCACATAAGCCATTACTCATTAGCTTCAGAAAAAGAAAAACCAAGAAAAATACCTCAAATCTCTATCCTTACACAAGTTACTCCAAAAAGACACAGTAGATAATCGAGGTTTTTTCTTAACACAGTGAAGAAAGTAAAGCGTAATTAAAACAGTTTTAACAGTTTCCTGAAAGCTTTTCCTTGGTTTCTGAAGCTTGATCCACCTTTCATCCTTTGATAGCAACAACACCTCAGGTTTCAAACCAGAAATATCAAACTTCCAAGCAGTAACCTGCATGAAAATCTTCTGCAGTCCACTATCAGAAGATCCGTGTAGGAATATCTTCCCTCTTTTGTCATCATCAACATTAGAAACCTCGGAATCACTCCATTGAATCGGCAAAACAGAAAAAGACACAGGTTCCTCATCGTCATCTTCAAGATGATAATTCGAAACAAGCAGATGCTGAAACTCAATCTCAGATTCAGGTTCATCATCTAAAATAGCGAATCCTCTCTTCATCTCAACAAATCCTTCTACATTATTAAAAAAACAATGAAATCAAATTAAAAAGCAAATCAATCCATTAAAAACAACAAATGCGTAATGCTAACTATGATTCTATGAATAAAAAACCAATTAGGGTTTGAAACTTCGTAAAATAAATATATGAATCAAGTAAACCCCTAATTCCTAAATTCGGAAACGGAATAATAATGCAGAAAAGTGAAATTAAGAACAGAAAAGGAAAAGAGAAAGAGAAGTAACCTTGAATTGATTATGGATGAGGTTACGGTGTGAGAGAGAGAGTGCGATTGTGAAATCGAAAGAGTGAAGATGAATGACGAAATTCTCGTGTTCTTATAAATTGGATCGCGATTTTTATGGCTTAAACCCTTTTGTACTCCCAACACTTTTGCCGCTATTTCTGTGATAAGATGATATTGACTCATGACGTCGATTCACCAATAGTCGATTATTATGATAGTACAAAATATTTCATCAAAAATATGTCAAAAACAAAATTAATTTAATTGTAAAATATCTATACATAAAAAATTTATTTGTTAAAAAACAATTAGGAAAACGGAAGCTTTTAAAAGTTTTTCTTTGTTAAAAAATTTAGTTTTTATCTATTAAATATTTTTTAAAACTAATTTGTTTTTTTAATTTTTTGTTTGTTGTGTGAAGTGATCTGATTTATAGACAAGATCTTTATTTAATATATGATTTTAATTTGATTTTAATTTTTATTTAAAATTGATTCAAATTTGATATCTAATTTATGTTTTATTTTAGTTTCATCCTAATTCATCCTTCATCGTTGTGATTTGTTTGATAAAACCATTAGAATGACTTTTTAAATAAAGATTTAAAAAATATTTAATTAAGTTATTCTTTTAGATCTTTAGGTAAAAACTATCATAGTATTGACATGTCTTATAAAGTTGGAAATTAAATCTTATAAAGTACTGACATTTAGTTACCATTATCATGATTTGATTTTGTTTTATAAAGTTGAAAAAAAAACTTATAAAGTATTAACATTTAGTTACCATTATCATAATTTTATTTTGTTTTATAAAATTGGAAAAAAATTTATAAAATATTAACATTTAGTTACCATTATTATGATTTGATTTTGTTTTATAAAGTTGAAAAAAAAATCCTATAAAGTATTAACATTTAGTTACCATTATTATGATTTGATTTTGTTTTATAAAGTTGGAAAAAAAAATCTTATTTATATAGTTTCATAATTTGATTTTGTTTTTTACTCTAAGAATGTCACAAGAAGTACGAGAGAAAAGCTCAGAAGGGTCTTTGATTTTGGTGAAACAAATAAATATTTAGGTGTTCCTCTTAGAGCAAATATTTAGGTGTTCCTCTTACAGGAAAAGCACCAAGGAAAGAGGATTATCATTATATCATCAATTAAATGAATGTTAAGCTGACCTCGTGGGAGGGAAATCAGTTGACTTTTGCAGGAAGAGTCACACTTGTAAATAGTGACTTTGAACCTATTCCAATTTTTCACATCATGACAGCCATAGCCCAAAATCTTGTGTGGATGAAATTCAGAAGATCCAACGCAAGTTTATTTGGGGTGAGAAAGGTAGCATTAGAAAACACCATGCTTTAAAATGGGATGTGATTACGAGTTCGAAGAGTGAAGATGTAGTGGGGCTTCGTAAGTTAGACATTATGAACAAAGCTTGTATATCAAAACTCGGTTGGAAATTTCAAAATCACGCAGGTGAATTCTGGTGTGAGGTTCTTTGGTGCAAGTATGGTAGGAATGATAACAAAAGAGAACTCATGATGAAACTAACGAGTTCGAGCCTTTAGAAGAGCATTGCGAGAGTTTGGCCGGAGGTGAATAAGCATAGCATGTGGAGTGTAGGAGATGGCAGTAGTGTGCATGCTTGGAAGGATACTTGGATAGCTCTTAACATTCGCATAGCAGATTATAGTGTTGATATTCCATTGCAAATCCAAGACGCCATGGTGGCAGATATTGGTAATGATAGTGAAGGTTGAAAGTGGGAGATGCTTAGAAGTTGGTTGCCTAAGGAAATTGCTCAACATATTGTTGTCATTATGCTTCCATCCATTGAAGCAGGGTCGGATATGGGGATGTGGATAGAGCACAATGGAAACAACTTTAATGTGGGTAAAATGTACAGAATAATGGATGTTAATGGAGGAGGAATGACAAACAAACATTGGGAAAACATATGGAAGATACAAGCAACATAACGTGTTAAATTTTTTGTGTGGATTATGAACCATGACAGGTTGCTCACAAGAAGTAGGAAACATCGCATGAGACTGGGAAGCGCAATGTGTAGATATTGTTGTACCGTTGAGGAAGGTGCAATTCATGTTTTGCGATATTGTCCTCGAGTTGTTGCTCTTTGGGCATTGGTGAAAACTAATTTAAAGTTGAGCTTTTTTGCAGGTGATTTAAAGTATTGGATTGGACTCAATATGGCTACCAATCAGGGGTGGAACGTCGATAAGGATTGGACGATATTTTGGGCCACAGCTTGCCATAGTCTTCAGACGTGTCACAATAAGGAAATGCATGACGAGAATTATAATCGACCACTGTGTATGGTTGGTTACATTAATAAAGTATTTTATGATTATGAGCATGCCAAAAGTGTGAATAATATAGTTATGAAACCTCAAAGAAATGATTCGCATATAAATTGGGAGATGGCACAGTCGGGATAGGTTAAATTAAATACGAATGGCGTTAGAGATAGACAAGGTATTTCGAGTTGTGGTGGGATCATTAGAGGGAGTGATGGAGAATGGCTTGGAGGGTTCACAAAACATGTTGGCAAAAGTTGTTCTTATATAGCCGAGTTATGGGGAGTGTTAGAAGGTTTGCAGTTGGCGGTGGAGATGGACTTCGGGAAGATAATATTGGAGGTGGATTCTCAACAAGTTGTTAATGATAGTTTAACTAGTGATAAGATAAGTAATATGGGAAGACAATTGATTATGAAAATAAGATCGTTAATGCATCAAGATAGGGAAGTCAAGATTCACCATATTTTCATGGAAATTAATATATGTGCGGATGTTTTGGCCAAGAAAGAAAGAGGACAATTGCATTCTTCTTCCATCTTAAATGAATGTCCGTCGTATATTAATCACCTGCTTGTTAAGGATGTGAATGAGGCTCCTAGTCCCGGATAACTTTGTTGTAGTTTTTCTTTCTTTTTGGGCTTCGGTTCTCCCTCTCATAAAAAAAAGGTTACTTAAACAATGAATCTTATTTATCAAAAAATGATCACTCGATCACAAAAAGCAAATGAAAGATTTTTTTTATGTAAAAGAAAATAAAAGATAATTTATAATTACTTGTTTATTTTTAAATGATATAGATTGTATTAATTGATATAATTTTCTTTTGAAAAATAGATATTTGTTTGTACAAAAAAAATCACATAAATTTTATCTTATTATTTTTTAATTAAGGAGCATATTCGATTGAGATTTTAAAGATTTTTTTTTTGCTGATACAAATGTTTTACATTGTCATTCAATAGAAATATATTATTCTGCCATGTCTTATAATTAATTTAAAGTTTTCAATATGAATTGGCAGAATGCATAGTCATCATTGGTTGAGAGTATAACAAAAACTTATATTGTTAATGCATAACCTTTTTTTCAAAAAAGAAACAGCTCGCACACTCATAATATTTAATCAATATTTAGTAAAACTCAAATAAATTTTATGATATTTAAATGACTTAATTTTTTTCCTTAACTTAATTTAGTTCTTTATTTAATAAATATTATGTATCGGTTCTTTAACAACAACTATTAATCAAATTAGTCAAAGTTGTTAAAATCGCGATTTTAAACATAAACTCTTAAATTTTACGTTTTTAGGTCGGCATTCAGTGTTAAATCGAAGGAAAAATCATTTTCAAGTAAAATCATAAATTAGAACAATTTTACACGATTTAAATCTCTTTGAAATATGTAAAATCGTGTAAGATCTTAGAATTTTACTCTTTGACTTGATTTTACCTTTTTTTCTTGAAATTTTAAAAAATGCATTCCAATAAAACTTCACTCACTTTATTATTTTATTCATTTTAAATAATCTCTTTTATTATTATACATTAGACTTTTCATTTACCATAACAATAAAAATTAAAAACTTTTGAACCTTAACATTATTTCACTTGTACGACGCCAAACCGGAATTTCAACGATAATTCTTTGAGTTTTTTTTTTTTTTTGTATATTGTGATATTTTTGTGTCTTTGTAAACACATCTATTAATTTTCTGCATTAAGTTACATACTCGGAGTATATATAACTTTAATATGAGGTAAGTTCTACGATTTCACGCTCGATTTTAGTCACCCAAAATGAATCAAAATAAAAACTCAATTTTGACAACTTTAAAATTAGTTATTAAATTAAATATTAGTGAAAAAAAATTAACTTTAACATACGTGACCGTTTACGTGTATAGATAGTATTGTGTTATCTTATTTGTCTTTTGAGATAAATTTTTTTTGTTTATTTTAATTTTTCTTTAGACAATTAAAACACACAAAATGAAGTTTTCGTCTCCCACAAAACCTAATAATTACCATTTCAATCCACCACATTAACAATCGATGTCTCTCCACCAGTGTAATCCAAGATTTTCAACAGTGTTGCATTCCTCATCTATTTCAATTTTTGCATTTGAGACCACTACTTTAAATACAGGTTTGAACTTTATTGTTAAGAGTCTCACATCGGATAATATATGACATGAACATGTGTTTATAAGTGGGAGCAATTCTCACTCTACCAACCGATTTTGTAGGGTTGAGTTAGGCCCAACCACATTTCTTAACATTTATTCTAAGATTCTTAGATTTTTGTTCCTTTATTCATATTACTTGGATTCTTATGTTTTTTACAGACAAAAACAAAATGAGATTCTCATGTTAAGAATAATTATATTCATCTTTAATGTAGATGCATATGTAAATGAT